TGTTGATTGTTTTGCGAAATTCTACGTGTGGTCGCGCCGTGTCGTTCGCTGTCTGAATCCTCTCCAGCATTGGTGTATATAAATAAGTGTGTCTGTTGCAGGAACTGGGGTATAAGAGGTGCGCATTTGTGTGAGAGATGAATGTCTTAAGGCTAACTGTTTCGTTGTTTTGCACGTTGTTCTGGACGGCAGTAAATGCAGATGATGCTGTTATGAAATTCACCGATGCTACCTTCAAGGATGGCATCAAACCGTACGATATATTGCTTGTGAAATTTTTTGCTCCATGGTAAGAATTTCCGCTCAATAAACATGAGTATTGAGCTATACGATTCATAATGTTTTCTTGGTAATACCGCAATTAAAAAATCACTAACTGCACCTGCTGGAATGTTGGATCTCGATGCTTAGTGAATTTGAACTGCATAATTGTAGAAGCTTAAAAGTCACCTAGCATGTTAGGACAATCAACTGTTACGGCTTTTTTTTTCTGAAAACAGTGGCTTGGAAAAAAAAAAATAACCTTTTTTGGCGTATATTTGACAAAGTATCAGTTTTGCTCAATATTGCTCGAATGTTGCCAATGATATGGAATTTTTGTTCGTTTTATGCAGTACCCGTACAGTTTTGTGCTTCATTTTGCTTTAGTTTTAGGGCAAATACCTCATATCAGTGATTTCAATGAATTCATCTGGATTTATGCCCCCTCCCTTCTCCCCTCTTGCTCTTTTCCTCTGGATTTTGGTGCTGATGCAAGAAATTTGCAAATTTTCGCTTATCAGATTGGTATTTATGGGCACTGAAGCTGATTTTGTAATGATTTTCTTAACTGGAAAATTGGACTTCAGATTTCTGGGAGTTTAGGGTCCCTAAAAAACGCCAAAGAAAAAGGATTACGCTGGATATTGCCTCACACGATCAGGAAGAAGTAGGTTGAGTGTAAGTAACCTTGAGTCAGTTAGATTCGAATTAAATTTTAGATATTTTCAGGTGTGGACATTGCAAAAAGATAGCGCCTGAATTTGAAAAAGCTGCCGCAAAATTGGTGCAAAATGATCCGCCAGTTTATCTTGCCGAAGTAGGTGAAGTTAAAAAATGGGACCTACTCCTAAAGTAACTTTCAAATTTGAAGTTCCGCAAACCGTCTTTCGGAGCAGGCTAGTGAGGTACTTCATTAGTAGATAGTAAGCGCTACCCATATGTTCAGTTTCCTGTTTTTAGTCGGATTTTCTCACTAGCCCTGTCTTGGTCTTCTTTCGTGTTCACTGACAGCTGCTGTGAGTCCATTCGACCGAGTAGTAAGATGAGTTACATTGATAGAGGGCTGGAGAATGAAGGCGGTTGTGGGAGGGAAGGGTGTTTTAAGTGTCGGGTCGTAGCATGAGGGGAGGAGGGGCAGGGTTATCTGCGAAAAAGCTGGAACCTCACTTCGAGTTTAAAAACTGGAAGCAAGAGGAAGAGG